GTTCCTCTGATGATGGAATGGGAAAGCCTTTTTTAAACTTTTTGGTTTGTTTGTTTATTTATTTATTGAGACTGGGTCTTGCTATGCAGTTAGGCTGGCCTTCAATTCACTTTGTAGACTAGGCTGACCTCAAACTCACAGCAATCCTCCTGCCTCAGACTTCTGAGTGCTGGGACTAGAGGTGTGCACCCAGCTGGGAAAGCATTTTGTGGCAAGGGAGACACACCAGAGAAGGTGGGATGAAGAACAGAAGGTCCTCTTCTTTCCCAAGAACTGGGAGGTTGGCGGGGAGGAGACAGCCAATCTGAACATCAGGGGAACGACACCTGGTTCTTACTTCCAGAGGAAGAAATTGCAAATCCTTCCCTTACTTTGCCTCAGTCAATGAAGTCCCCAATTTCTCTGCTGCTCCCCTTCCTGAATCACCAACATGGCCTCCAAGTCACCACGCAGGGCAGAAAAATGAGCAGGAGAAGAAGGAGGTGCACGGATTCAAGACCTGCCTGCTGGTCCTGCTCAGGCTCCGAATGGAAGCTTTCAACATCTACTCCAGCTCCGTGGTAACTGAGCTAGGTCTGTAACCCAAGGAGAAAAACAGTGTCCACCAAGATGTTTGTCAGATGAGAAACTTCCAAATCCTCCTAGATTTACAGTAATCTAAGACAAATGCCTCTGATGTCCTGAAGTGAGCAGTAAATCAAAACAATTCGTGACCTACCACGAAATCATCTCCAGGACTGATCCTAACTTTTGGGGGCACTGGGGCTATGACAGGGCACACATTGCTTATATGGGTCTCTGGCTGTTTTTTTTTTTTTTAGCAGTCTGAGAAAACTAGAAGTCCCTGCCCATGACAAAGACTCTAAATTGTCCCCTGGTGCCTACCCCACTGTGCTTTAGTAACAGAAGCCTGGCTTTCAGCTAGATCCACAGAAAGATCACTTTAATTTCCTAGCCTTTTTCTTTAGGTGGATCAGACAGTCAGGTTGTGGCCTAGAAAGCAAGTGATCACACGCACCTTCTGGGATGGGGCACAGTCTACCTCCTGGCTATGAGGAGGACATCTGTGCCTGGGTCTCCATGTCCCAAGGCTGCAGGACAACTCTACAAGGTCCTCGGCAGCATGAGCCAGCAACACCCCCAATACACATACACACACCCCGGCCCCCCTCATCCTAGGGGAGATAAATATGCCTCACATTTAAGCCACCCTTCTTTGGGAGTATCTATCTCTAACAGCTAATTCTGCCTAACAGATCCCTAGTCCTAGATACAGGCACCTAAACGGGGTGTGCTAAGTCGTAGGGCTTGTGTGTGCCTCCCAGAAGCAAGGCCTAAAACTACAGGCTGCTGCAGAGGAGGTGGGAAGGGAGTGAACAGAAAGAGCATGAGTCCCACAAGGTGACAAGTGGCCACTGCTGTCATGCAGCACATGTGCATTTGATGGAGCACAAGGTCTTCTGTAATGTGGGAGGTAGACCAGGTATCTGGTAAAAGCTGCATAACTACAAGGAATAGCTATGAAAAAATTCAAAATATCAGTGTTTGCCATCTTCCTCAAAACTCGTCAAAGCTGGGTGAGACAAATGTCTAACTAGAGCTATCCCATCCCACCTGAAAAAAGGTAGAAAAGACAAATCTTCTAAGTTCAATGTCTGCAACTGGCAGCCTAAGCTGGAACCACCAGCACTATGCCAACCAGAGAGGAAAGGTTTCACCAGAGCCTACAGCCTGTGCCTAGTCTGAGGTCCAGTGCCTGGTTTCACTCAAGCCTAGCGATTCCTCCAGCCCAAGGGAGCCATCAGCACACAAGGAGAGCAAAGGATTAAGGTCTTATAAAGATCAAAGATTTTAGGCTTAAAATCTATTGTGCAGTATCTTTGATTGTTACTCACGAGGAGCCAGTGAGGCAAAATGACTAGCGGCCAACTAAAGTTCTGGAAATGACACCTCCACAGAATTTATCAGGCTGGCCTATAAAGTGCTGTGATGCGTCAATCCTCAAATAATGACCAACCCTTGACAAGGGCATAAGCATTTTCTGTGCAGGGATAGGAAGGTATACGTGGGTACCTGGGAGTGTAGCAGAAACTCCTGATGTCCCTGTGATATAGTTCTAGGAACAGAATTCCCAGTTTCTAGCTAATGCATGTAAAGAGGACTAACAGAGGAGAAAGAGTTTAAGAATCTTACAGTAAAGGGCCCACATCTAATTTAACTTTTACTTCTCCTTCTACCCATTAGGAAAGAGCCACTGAACTGCCACAAAAGCAATACATGTAAAGAGAGAGAGAAGCACAATGAACCCAGCCCACGTGAGCCTCACCCATCAAAGTGGCACGAATAGTGTAAAGTGCCGTGCATCCTTATGAACATCTGGAAACAAACCGCTGCATGCAGCCATTCCTGAATAGCAGCCTAGGCACTGCAGAGATGGCAGCGTCTGACCACGGAGGGGTGGACACGAAGCACAGAAGACCACACGTGAGATCAGCCCGTCCACAGAAGACACAGCAGCTGCATCTGGAGACAGCTTTAGAGCGCATCAGCCACACACAGGCTGGTTCCACAAGCTGTCTCCTGGCAAGGGGATAGAGCACTGGGCTAGACGGCATTTTGCTCATATTCTTGACACATAACCGTCTGTGTGTTTCATGTGTCTATCCCATGATCCCACTGTGGATGATCTGGGTCCTTCTGACACCCAAGAGCCTCTTTAAATGCCTGCTCCTAAACACCTATGGCCCCAGGAGCTCCTTAGCAGGCTCACTGACTGTCACGCCTGCCCAGCAGCTAGCAGGGAATGAACGATTAGGAATCAGAGCCATTTCACTCTCTGCACTGTGCAGGGACCAAACAAGAAGAGAAGCAACGTTGGAATGCTCTGGGAGAGGGTAAAATATTTTTCTCTTTTATAAAAATAAAAACTCTTAATCCTAGGGAAGGCTCTGCCCCCGGAATTGACAAACTCAGCTCCTGACTTTGGTGTCTCACATACTTTCACACAGCCACGTTGCTCGGGGCAGCATTCTTGTTTTTAAGCTCCATGTGAAGAAAGAACTTACTGATATTCAAGAGTGCTGAAGCAGTGTGTTTACACAGGAGATGTGTGTGTGTGTGTGTGTGTGTGTGTGTGTGTGTGTGCTTCAGCGTCATAAAACACAGCTTGGGCAGTAGGATAAAATCCAACCATCTGATCAAACAGAAGCCCTGGCAGGATTCGTGCTGCCCTCTCATAAAGTGCTGCTCACGGCACAGGCTTGACAATCACACGTCCAACAGGGTACATGTGTCCCCAAAGCAAGTCCTCCTACTGTTACCCACGGAGATAAGAATGGTTCGAAAGTCTGGGGATACAGTTCAGTGGCACAAGTGTCTTCCTGGCACAAGTAAATGCAAGGTCCTGAGTTTGATTCCTAGTACCACAAAAAAAAAAAAGAAAGAATAGCCTGAAAATATCTGTATTTTTCTAACCAATCATCATCTCCCAAAAATCTATCGTTAAGCATTCTGTGTGCCTTTTAATGTGAAACATGGTGTTCTGGGTAAGTCAGGGTCATTGACTGGCAAATCCCGGCACTCAAGAGGCTGAGCAAGACCCCGGACGCAAAAACAACAAGGTTACATCAGGCCTATCACAAGCAAGTCACGACCCTTCCACCTACAAGAACAGGCCTCTCCCTCTGTAAAATCAATACTTGTGACACTATAACTTAACTCCATGAGCGAAAGCCCCCAGGGCCCTCCCCACCCTGCCTGCCTCTGCGCCTGCCACTGCCAACTCTCTTGGGCTCCACACACTAAAAGTGCTGTTGTGCTGAGCTTGGTGTGAATATCAGGAAGATGCGAAACTTAGATACATCTTGTTTTGTTTTGTTTTTTGAGTCAGGGTCTTGCTGCACAATTCAGGCTGGCCTCAAACTCCCAGTGAGCCACATGCCTGAGCCTCAAAGTGCTGAAATTACAGGTATGTGCCACCACACGTGGCCAGTTGCCTACCATTTCAGGTCAATGTATTACATTCCAAAAATGAACAAAGGTAAAAATACTTTTACATGTGAATTATACACCCAGTGTAGTGGGTAAACACCTACAAACTATGAATCCAGTTTTTGTTTTTTGGGTTTTTTTTTTTTTGAATCTTACATTCCTTAAATTTGGTCATACATTGAGGGAAGACATTTTTCTTATTTTCTCCCTCAATAACTCCAGTTCTTAAACTAAAACATATTTATGAACACTGACAAATTGAAGAACTTACCTCTATAAAACAAAAGAAAAAAGAAGAAAAATTTGCAGTAATAGTAAATTTCAAAATTCAAATGGGATTAAAGGGCACCTGAAATAATATACTAGGTACAAACATATCAGGACAATTTTGAAAATACAAAGCTCCAACTTTTCAGTTTAACTCAGTCTCTCAATTTTGTAGTACTACTACCTCTGCAAAACACCCTAAAGTAATCACTTACCACTGATTATAACAGTACAAAAGTAAAGCAGTAACAAGCAACAGGGTCACCTGTGAAACGTTTTTTCATAATGTTCTCTTTTCCAAGGACCCTGGGAAAGGCCTGAGTGAAGGGAAAGAAAAGGAAGGGAGACAGTCACAAAACACACCCGCTGCATGTGGTGGTGTACACCTGAATCCCAGCACTCACCCAGGAGGCTGAAGCAGGAGGATCGTCATGAGTTTAAGGCCAGCCTGCACTTATGTTGAGTTCAAAGTCCAGTCTGAGACCCTCTCTCAAAACAAACAAACAAACAAATACAAATGTCTGATCAAAGAACTTACCTAACTCCGCTTCCTACATCATAGCTCCTGGAGATGCGGAGCACATGTAGCTCGCTAGCAGGTCTGCTGAAATGGATTATGTGCTGCCTCTCCCTACACACACACACACACACACACACACACACACACACACCCCATATGGGTCATGGGGCAGAACCCACATGCTGATTACTGAGAGTGGTGCTTGAGGCCACCTTGGACTCACCCATCCAGAAGACTCATGGTTGTGGTGGTCACTTCAGCAAACAGTATTACTTTCCCGAGGTGTTGGGTCTGCAGATTCTGTCGATAGATCTCTAGACTAAAATGTTCTGAAGAGAAGGCTTCTGTGCCAGTAACCACGGGGATAGAAGATGGGGTGATTTCCATTCCCGGTGTGTAAGATGAAACAAACTTAAGGGAGAGCTTGCTAGATTTTATTACTCGGTCAGCATCCACAATTCTTCCAAGCCACTGCATAAATGGATCCCGGATGTCCTGTGTCGAAAAGAAGGAAGGAAGGAAGGAAGGAAGGGAGGGAGGGAGGGAGGGAGGGAGGGAGGGAGGGAGGGAGGGAGGGAGGGAAGGAGGAAGGGAGAAAGAAAGAAAAGAAGGGAAGGAGGGAGAAAAGAGGGAAGGAAAGAAGGAAGAAGGGAAGGAAGGGAGGAGAGAGGAAGAGAAGGGGAGGGGTGGAATAAAAAGTGAAAAGACTGTAATTTGTCATTTCATTAGATGATTGTAGATTTTCCTAAAAATGTCGCTGGGTAATAGAAGTACTTAATTCATGACCAGTAAATGCTGATTGACTGCTCTGTGCATCCTGTTTTACCAGATGGTAATAAATATCCTGAGTGCTACGGTCTGAATGCTGCTCCCCAGAATTCATACACCTGCAAGTTAACCCTCAAATTCATGTTAATGGCATTTGGAGATGGGACCTTTAGGAAGTTAAAGGGTCGAAGTGGCTCTGCCCTCATGAGTGAATTAATCCATTAACGGATTACGGGGTTACGGAAAGTGGGTTCAGCATCACAAAAGTGGGTCTGTGGTAAAAGCCAGGTGGCCATCTCCTGTGAACCCCAGCCGCCATATGGGCCCTGCACTGTCTCCAGACTGGGCCCCAAGTCCCCACCAGCAGGCAGGCTGCCACCAAGATAAAGGCCCTCCGTTCTAGACTTCCCAGCCTATAAGAAAATAGTTTCTTTTCTTTATAAATTACCTAGTCTCAAGTATTCAGGTACAGCAACAGATAACGGACTACGACACTAAGTAGGTGACAAACTCTAGAAAGCAAGATCCAAGGAAACAAGGACAGCTCGTGCGTGTACTTCCTACCTAAGTACACAAGCGCCTCCAGCTTTGAGGTTCGTGAGTAACTCTCCAGTCCCCTGCGCATCTTACCGAATATTGTGTCTTTAAACATCAGCCTCACAAGGAAATTTATTATCCTATCTGTGAAATGAACAAACAAAAGACCTAAGTGGAAGAAGTCACACTGCATGAAGCATTAAGGTACTAGAGCATCTAATCCATGCTCTTAGACGACCATCACTTCCACTCCTGAACCCTCACCACTAACAAGGCAGAAATGGATTCCATGGAGCAAAAATAATGGAGAACCCGGAGCTGCTCTCTCTTTGTCTCAAATACAAATCCAAGAACCAGGCAAGGCTTTCTATTTTAACCTAAACTACAGGGGTGTCCTTCCCCCACTCCAGACCCCAGAGGCCTCTGGGGCATACATCCTGGATGGCTTACTTGGATCTGGGGGTTCAAGGGAGTCATTCTCCCAAAAGGAAATGCATAAGACAGATCTAGACTCTTAGGGTACCCTCATGCAAATGCAAGGTCCTTCGAAAGAAAAACCTCATTGGTGAATGTCAGTACCAAAGTTCCCATGCTACAAAGAAGTAGCTTCACAGATGACTTGTGTGTGTGTGTTTGTGTGTGTGTGTGTGTATGTGTGTGTGTGTGTGTGTGTGTGTGTGTGTGTGTGTGTGTGTTTTAGGGAAGGCTCTACAGGGTGTTTAGGGTCTCACTACTAGATCGGACTCATAGTGATCCACCTGTTTACAGCCTCCCAAGAGCTGGGATTATAGGCACGAACCACCACACTAGTCTCAATCGCTGTCTCAGCATGCCCTGGGGAAGGGACCAACATGTTTTTTTAATTTTTATTCTTATTTATTTATTTATTTATTTTTACAGATGGCATTTCATTCAACCCAGTCAGCCTTTACAAATCACTTCTAGCTTGCAGGAAACAAACTATTTCAATAAAATTAATAATTTTTAAAAAGGAAGCAAACTAAATTATTTCAGAAGGAAGAAATCCAGAAAAAAGTGAGACCTAGAAGAATCTCCAACAGCCTGAGTCCTGGAGGAAAGGACAGCATGCTAAAATGGGCGCGTCTGGATTAGAAGGGACTTGAATAACCCTCAGATACACAATGAGTAGTTCCTTGCTGGATTCCGCTTTGAATGATCTAGCTGGAAAAGACATTTTAAGACAGTTAGAAAATTTGAGTATGAACAGTATGTATTAAGTAACAAAAGGGGGGCCGGTGAGATAGCTCAGCTGTCTAAAGGGCCTGCGTAGGCAAGGTTAGGCAGGAGCAGGGGATGGAGGTTCAATCCCCAGCACCACATGCTGTGCCAGCCCCGCCCTCAGGGTGGCCTGAGCTGGCCAAAAAAAAAAAGGAATTCCTGCCAGTTTTAGTGGATATGATGAGTTACTGTGTTAATACAGGAAAATGTGGATAACTGGAAAGCAACAAGACAAAGCTACTTTCTTCCAATTATCTCAAGTAGAGAGTGGTTTGCTTTGGCTCACAGTCCGTCAGGACTTCTGTCCAGAGTCCCCACTGGCTCCAAGGTAGGGTGCATATGGCAGAGGGGCACTGCCAAAGAAAACTACTCACAGCAGCAGGAACCAGAGGGAGAGAGCAAAGAAGTGGGGAGGGGTGGGGCTACTATAAAAATAACAGACTCAACTAAAACGTATTAGCAACCCATTCTTTTTTTTTTTTTTTTTTTGTACTGATAATTAAACTCAGGACCTTGTGCTTACCAGGCAGGTACTTGAGCCTCTGAGCTATAACTGGGTGCAACCAACTCATTTGGATACCCAATCAGTACTCATGGCTGGATATGGGCCACCTGGCAGAACTTCTGTCACTCTGAGGATGGAGCACTAAATAGAGTCCAAGTCCTTGTCCTCAGCGAGCTGACCCTCTAGTGTGAGCAACATGTTGGGAGCACCAAGAGCAGAATGTCCAACAGGAAGGAGGACCAGGGAAACACTCATGCAGAGGAGAAAGGTGCACAGAAGGCAGGCCGGAGGGGTAAGGCAGATGGAACATCTCGCTGAGCAGGTGACGTGTAAGCAAAGACAGGAGTCATGGCAATTTTATACGCAGGCATGCTCAGCTAGTTCAGTATATATATTGTTTTTACAACCCTAAATCACCTGATAACTCATTTCTCAAACTATCTCCAAAGGTCGGTGATGGACAGCCACAATTCTGTCATTTACATTATTTATACAGGGGGATTCCAGGGAAGAGCAATGGCAGAGACTACAAGGAAGAACAGGCCTGACCAGGAACAGTGACAGGGCAGAGGGGCACTGAGGTCATGTGGTAAGACCCTGGAAAGCCACAGGAAAGACAGGCTTACAGCTGGAAGCAGTAGGGAGCCCCTCAGGGAGACACGCTCCATCACAGCAGCGGCCAAGCGAGGTGATAACTCCTAGGTCGGCACGACTGCAGACAAGCAGAGGTCAGAATCCCAGGCTGCTCTGAAGGATGATGAGAAACCGGGGGAGGGGAACAAAACTGAGCCCAAGACTTCAGGCCCAGCCACCTGGAAGGACAGAAGGACAGGAGGAAATGCAGTGGTAGAGCAGATGCGGACAGCAGTTGTCGCTGGTCAGCAATGGGCTGAGTGATTTGTACCAGAACCCAATGGATGCGCCAGGAGGGACAGCACGGGTGGGCCACAGTTCAGGGAGAGGCCACACCAAGGGCTTAAATGTGGACCCATCAGACTATCTGTGAGCACCTCAGGCTAGAGGAGAGGATGGGATGCCTGAGAGAGGGATGGAGAGAAAATGAGGACACCAAGGAGTGGAGTCAATTTCCTGGGGACCTGGTAACAAGGACCATGAGTGCAGGAAGGGGACTGAAATGATAGTAATTTATTTCCTTTTGGAGGCGGCAAGTCCAAATCAAGGTGTCACCACAGCCACACTTACTACGGACTGAACACAACCCCAAAGATCACTGCTAGAACTGCAGTCTTCAGCATAGCTGGGCTGGGACGTGGGGCTTGCAGGAGGTGATGGCTCTGAGGGTTCACCATCACAAATGGGTTAGCACCACATTCCTGGGTGGGGAAGCCACCATGGAAAGGATTCCTTACTGAAAGATGAGTCTTACCCCTTCTGTTTGCTGCCTGCCTTTGTTTCCCCACTTTGCTCTTTTACAACTGAGATGCAGCAAGAAGGCCCTCGGCAGATGACAGTCTTCCTATCTGACTCCCCAGCCTCAGGAGCTAGGGGGCTGGCTCCTGTTCACTGTACTCAGTCTCAGGTACTCTGCTCGGGTGACACAGGGTGAGCTCAGATGAGGCTCTGCGAAGGATCTGTCCATGCCCTTTCCTAGCTTTTGGTGGTGCCTTCCATGGCTTGTGCACATCATGGCCTCTCCACAGCTGTCCTCCCAGTGTGCTCCTCCATATGAGTCCTGACCCAGTGTATCTTCCTCTAAGGACACCAGTCATATTGGTTATAGGCCCACTCTAATGACCTTGACTTATTTTGATACACCTGCAAAGACCCAACTTCTGAATAAAGTCACGTTCAGAGGTGCTGGGGCTAGGACTTCGGTGCATCTTTTGGAGGAACGCAACTGACAACAGCAGTCAATGCTTGGGTGGGGAAGCAAGGTGGTGTCTGCAAAGGAGACCAAGAAAACCAAGGATATGTGTGGATGGATAGCGGCAGGCAGAAGGGCACCTTGGGGTCCAGACCCAAAAGCCGAAAGGACTGTGAGAGAGGACTGTGAAGCAGCCAGATGGAAGACTCAGGGACACAGCACATTTCTGGACTCTGACGACGTCTACCAGGGGTGATGGGAAGAGAGAAACTACACAGCCCAAAGACAAATCTGAGGCAGAATTTCCTCTAATGGCAAAGAGAAGAATGTGGTGACTACAGGGAAAAATGGCCAAAACTCCTATAGGAGGGTTTCAGTGGAAGAAATGATGCATTTTTTAAAATGCCAAGGTGAGCAGTCCCATGGAGTCAGGTGAAGTGCAGCAGAGCAGAAATGTCAGCCTCGGAGGGTGAGAGGCTCACCCTCAAGGAGCCCCAGGGCTCATGTCCTCCAGTGGGGACGCCCAGTCTTTCATCTCCCAGATCCAGCCCTGCCCAGTGCCATGCTGACTATGCAAAGAGGCCAGCCCTGGTCCTGAGCGTCGCTGCTCACACCCTGCTC